TGGTGTGAAAGCTGTCAATCAAACCTTGGTGGGGACCAAACAACCGTACCGAGACCGCTCACAATGGTGGGTCTCTGTACCCTTCCAAACAGACGTTGGTACGGTTTGTCTATAGCGTGAAAGTAAACAAACCAACCTGAGGGATTTTACAACAGCAGATATGTGATTTTCGCAACAGCTAAACCAATAATGAATCCCCCTGCTGATCGTCAAATCTGTTCGCAAGCTCATAACTGATCCTAATAAAGGCCATGTATATCCCATAACCTATTTATGCTAATGCATAGATGTAACCATGGTAACACATGTGCATCAGTGACGGTATTTTCCCTGACTAAAAAGCTGTTAAAACTTCCATCATTGTATCTGACTCTGTGTACTTCATCTGTTCAATAAGTCCATTAAAAAGTGTGTGACAGTGATCCCACAGTATTAAGCCCTGAATCATTACTGTACAAGAGGCCTTCTTTTCATCCTGTCCCTATGTTAGTCATTAATTATAACATGCGGTTGATTTGCGGTCTGATAATAGCCTATTATTAATGCTTACAATCAGTTATTTCTCTATGAGCTCTTTGTGAAACCAAAAACCATAAATATAAACACTTAATAAGCATTAAAGTGCTGCTGCATGTCAGTCACTGCAATTTGATTTCCCCACGTGGGTCCTAAAGATGCAGGATGACAAACACCAAAACTGTCCAATCAGCGAGCTGTCTATCAGTAGGTAGAACTTCATGTTTACTCCTCTTGGTTTATTTGCGAAAAGTCAGTGTGAACAGGTTCCGAAACAAAACAAAAATGCAACAGTGTATCATTGTTTCCCTCTGGTGCGACCAAATGAACCAAACTACAGGTGTGAAAGCACCTGGATACTGAGGAACTCTCAACCCATTCCCATTCCCAGGTCGTCAAATACCAACAAACTGTCAAGGTCCTCTGCGTCTGATACCAACCCACAACATGCTCTGTTCTCTGCCGGAAACTGGTGGATTGCCCTCTCCGGGTTGGGAGAGTTACTGCCTCAAGCATGGGAGTTCAAGTATCTCGAGGTCTTGTTCGCGAGTGAGGGTAGAATGAAGCGTGAGGTGGATCGGCGGTTTGGTGCAGCCCCTGCAGTGATCTGGGCACTGCGCTGAACCATTGAGGTGAAGAGGGAGCTGAGCGGGAAGGCAAAGCTTTCTATTTACTGGTCCATCTACGTCCCAACCCTCACCTGTGGTCATGAGCTCTGGGTAGTGACAGAAAAAATGAGATCGCGGATACAAGCGGCTGAAATAAGTTTCCTCAGAAGGGTGGCTGGGTTCAGCCTTAGAGACAGGGTGAGGAGGACAGGAGTCAGTTGAGGTGGTTCGGGCGTCTTATCAGGATGCCTCCTGGGCACTCCCGGTAGAAGTGTTCCAGGCACGTCCCACTGGTAGGAGGCCCCAGGGCAGACCCAGAACACGCTGGAGGGACTACATGACTCATCTCGCCTGGGAATGCTTTGGGGTCCCCCAGGAGGAGCTGGAAAGTGTTGATGGGGAGAGGGACGTCTGGGGTGCTTTGCTTGGCCTGCTGCCCCCGCGACTAAGCCCCAGATAAGCAGATGAAATGGATGGATGGACGCCCTGTATCTGTGTCTGAATGTGACCCTCTGGACTTTCAACAAACTCCAACGTAAACCCATCCATGGCAATTTTAGACGCTCAGAGCAACGGATGTGGTATAGAGCAAGAAAGTCTGTAGGGAGGAGGTCAGGGTGGATGGGTCAAACAAACACAGGACTTTTACCCAGGAGACCACACTTTGTGTCCCATGTGAAACCAAGAGTCAACGTAATTTTAACCCAAACCCATGGACATTTTTTTAAAGACACTATATGTATGTATCGAGCCTAAACTGACAAGTACAAAACTGAGCGAGAGGGGTACATAGAGCATCACAGTTTGAAGCATAGGGCCACTGACCAAGCAGCTGTTATAGACAAACTGGGAAAGAGAACATGTTGTAACTGTTATTGCCATCAGACTGTCTCTTTACCTCTCATACCTTTTAAACAGTGCACTCAAATATAGTCTGGAGAACTTACTAATTTAAAATATTTGCAAAGAGGCTTACAAAACATCGGTAACTTATAATTCTGTTTACTTTTACTTACTAGCGTGCATTGCCCTTAAGGCTTAACTGGCCCCTTTAAATGTTCTCCCTTTCTCCCAAAGCTATACTGTATCAGTGTAGAATCACCTACACTTTGACTTATTCAGTGTGCCAGTGAATTATTCAGTGTAATTTCAGAAGCAGCCTCTTTTGTCCAGGAGTTGTTTAGACGATGAGTGTTAACAATGACTGAATGAGCGTTTAGTCCAATGGAGGGATTTGTAAAGTCGATATAGATATACCAAATATAAACTTTTGTTCTGTGGCCAGTAGGTGTGTTGTCAAGTTGTCACAAATAGTCTGACAATAATGGGCAGATTAATCAATAATAAAAAATAATCATTAGTTGCAGCTCTAATTTATTGTGCCAGTACACTATCCTAACAAACATAATGATTCCTTTTTTTGATAAGGGTTTGGTTATCTTACTTGATTAAAAAAGTATTAAACTAAATCAATTTAGTTACATATAACTATGTAAAATATTTTATAAACATATTTTTTGCTTTGCCTTTCCTAATACAGATTTACAATCAGTTACTCCTTCAATTCATTAAGTAAAACGTGGGAGACACACTGTCACTAAATCAATAACTTTAACTTCCCAGTCATTTTGGTTTTTATGATGCTGTAGTTCCTATTATCAGTAATGTATAAACAAGGACTGTCACATCATAGTACAAGTTATAGTTTGTGTGGGTCCACAGTGAAGTGCTCAAGTTGTTGGGTTCCTCTTTATGCAACATTCTGCCAGGCAACTTAGGTGTCATACTTGACTCCATCCTAAGTTTTAAAAGCAGCAAATACAATTGTTCAGTTGTTGTCTCCAAAACAAAGGTGTTTCTGTCCTTCCAGGACATGGAGAAGGTCATACGTGCTTTTATTTTTTCTAGACTTGCTTATTGCCACTCCCTGTATTCCTGCCTGAGTCAGAAACAACTTTCACACCTGCAACTGACACATGTCTTCTTAGCCTCGCTGCACTGGCTCCTTCTACATTTTATTAACGTTTTATCACCCAGTTTTATAGCACAGCTTGGGCTGGCCCCAGGGTATATAATGGGTTTCTTAACACCCTACGAGTCTGCAGGTGGCCTGAGACGGTCTCGTCAGCTACTTCTTACTGTTCCCAGGTCAAACATTGTGATTACAGGGAATCTACAGGGCGCTCAAAGTCTGGAATGCACTGACTGTAGACATACAATCATCTACATCTAGTTGGAATTGTCCTACCTGAACAAGCTTCAATATTAGTGAACACATTAATGCATCTACTTTTACTTAGGTAAGATTTGACCTCAGGACTTTTACTTGTATCAGAGTATTTCAACACTGTACATTGGTACTTTTACTTAAAGGGGAACTACACCCATTATTATTTCTATGGTCTAAGGCAGCCCAAACATACATGTAAATACAACCCACTCTCTCCCTAATCCAGAAGCTAGAGTGCTAAAACTTAAATATGTGATGTCATTGGGTATAAAGTCTGGAACTGCTCCATAGACATTGAATTCGGAACAGTATTATAGATGATACTAAGAGCATCATATGGATACATTTTCTGTTTCAGAACTGAGAACACAACTATAGATTAAAGCTCATTTGGGTATAAAAAAGACAACAAATATTCTGTGGATCTACAAAATCAGTCTCCTATTCATTGTCTATGGAGAAGCTCCAGACTTTATACCCTGCAGAGTGCCCCAGGAGTCTTAAAACCCCAAAAATTAGTTAGCATTTTACCACTCCTGGTTCCCTTGTCTTTTCCATTTTTGGTTAGATGCCTGAAATAAAGTCTGTGGTTAACACAAACTTAAGAGGCTTTCATGTTTTGTTCTACGACATAAAATATGCCAGTAAATACCCCACTCATGACCTTTGAAGCTTCTGTGTGTCTTAAAAAAGGTGGTCGCTAACAAGTGGCTGAATTACACTACAGAATGTCATCATGCCCAGCCCGCCGAACACAGCTTAATGGTGGTGATGTTAGGTTGTCTGACTGTAGTGCAGTTTATTTATAGCCTAACGTTAGCTTTCAACTTTGTGAATATTATCTTGCTGAATAAAACATGTATAAGACCTCGGTTTTGTCCTGGTTGAGTTGAAGAAAGTTTTTGGCCATCCAGGACTTCATATCTAAAATACAGTTAAAAAGGGCATCAGTTGGCCCTGAGTCATCAGGAGACACAGCAATGTACAGCTGAGTATCATCAGCATAACTATGGAAACTGATGCCGTGCCTCCTGATGGCATTCCCAAGTGGCAGCATGTATAGATTAAAAAGTGTTGGACCTAAAATTGAACCTTGGGGGACCCCACAATCCAGTTTATAGCTTTTGGATGAACATTCATCCATTGTTACATAAAATTCTCTATCAGAAAGATAAGATTTAAACCAGTTACAGAGAAACATCATCCCTGGGGAACTCAATGACATCACAAGTTTCTGGATTTTAGAGAAAGTAGATCATGTTTACAGAAATGGACTGAACTTTACAAGGCCATGGAAATAGCATGCTGGAATTCTTAATTGGGTGGTGTCTCCTTTAAGTGAAAGATCAGAAAGGCATATGAATTTATACTAAATTATCTTGAGAATTAACATTAATAATTACCTTGCTCCCACTAAAAAAGACATATACATATAAATAAATGTATTATTATTAGTTGTTGTTGTATTATTGCTATTGATAGTGTTTATAATGAATGCAATAAAACTCTCATGGTGAATACTATTAAGACTTGGCTGTGTATCCAGCTCCATTGTGTGTTTATGTGTGTGGTACTGGACTTCAGCCTGCGGAGGGCACACAGATCAGCGGCCACATCTCCTCTGATAAGCAGAAGAAGAAGCTCGCAGTGCGGCAGTCGTCAAGCGGAGTTGCTGCTGGCTGACGGAAGAGAGCGGTAGCTATGTGATGGCTAGCCACGGAAGCAGGAAGTAGGCTAGCTGTTAGCTAACCTCTAGCTACTACCGCTTTGTTCTTTTCTGGGGACACCAGCCACCTTTGGACAGGTATTAAACTCTTATTGTGACTTTTCTCAAACCTAACAAACAACCCCGTTTCCTGGTTAACGCCAACTGACTTCGCTCGCTAACCAGTTAGCCGTCGCGCTAATATAAGCTAACGTGGCTAAGGAGGAATATACTCGCAGTTAAATCCTCGTAAAATGACCCAAGTGTAACTACGTGACACCATTATTGTGCTGCTATCATAAAGAAAAGTGTACTGACACGTTATAGCCGAATAGTTAGCAAACTGGCTGTAAAAAGACGACTTTATGCTAGCTGGTTTACGAGCTGCACCTAGCGTGCTCAGGTTAACGTTTACCTCAGTGGCGTGTCATTTCCTGAATTCCTGTGTCTTGACAGAAGAATATTGACATAGCTGCTGGAAGGCTTTTTAAATGCAACACCCAAACAACCGGTTGGTCATTCAACAGTCACTCTGTGTCTGTATGGGACCAGCCGGCAGTGAAACTACTCAGTACTAAATGTGCTTTAACTCTGATGGATTCTTCCCACACATCAAACCATGGATTTTCCACTTTGTAATATTTCCTGTGGGGACGGTAGGTCATTGCTGCTTGAATCATGCTCTCACCTTTGTCCACAGCAGCTCATTAACGCTTTGTTTTCCTCCATATGCTCTGCTCTCAGGTGTCTGGGCTGGCCAGAGCTGTACCTTTGGTCAGCATCTGCACTGTTTGGCCGTAAATGTGACAGACCACTCCAACACATCCAGCCTCACTATGGGTCAGGACAGGGGGAAGTATGATTTTTACATCGGTCTGGGATTGGCCATCAGCTCCAGCATCTTCATCGGAGGCAGTTTTATCCTCAAGAAGAAAGGACTTCTGAGGCTGGCGAGGAAGGGATCGATGCGAGCAGGTACTGACCTTTTCTGAGTCATGCTCATCATCGCTAACCTTACACCTAGAAACATATAATCTACTTTTGTCAGCCAAGTTTAGGCACTCCCTGCTCTTGTTGTGCAACACTGTCCGCTAAGCAGCCAAACCAGTGTGAACATCCATTAGCATACCTAATAACTTCCTTACATTTCAGGGTTGCTTGGTTTTGCTCACCTCTGCAGGGTGTGTTTGTGTTTGTAGGCATGTGTGTGCACTCCCTTAACACCTGGTAAACATTAACTTTGCCATTTCACTTGACCTTCAGCTCAAATCCAGTGCAGCTGCCTGACTTGTAGTGTGATGATTACATAATTCGAGGTTTTGCTTACATGCAAGTTTTATTCAAATGAGTGGAATCACATGTTCTAAAATACACCTGTGTGTTTTTTGCCCTTCAGGTCAGGGTGGACATGCATATCTAAAAGAATGGCTATGGTGGGCTGGTTTACTATCAAGTAAGTAATGACACTCAGTGATTGAAAATGAGATCAGGTACGAGCCCAGTTAGCGTAGATCTGGTGACTTTTGCAGGTTGAATAATGTTTAGGTGTTGAAATTAAAAACTGGGTTAAAGCGTGGATGTACAAAGAGAACTGGATACAGCGTTGGAAGCGGGGCCCTGTTCATTTCTATGAAAGTTGCTCAGTGGCACATGAAGCCAAAAAAGCTTGACTGGGGTGTCGTTTATAAAACAATGCTTAGGACCCAAACTAAAAATGTACGTAAAAATGGCATGTGGCAAAAAATATTCGACAATTTCTTCAATGAGGCTTCCACCTCACCATGTGCATCGCCAATTTCCTGTCTCCAAAATGTTTGTAAACATGGGTTAAAGTTTGTCCCATCTAGTCTGTTTTTTTAGATCACAACCTATGCATGGGAAGTGGCGCACACCTCTTGCAGGCCTCGTTTTGTGTGTACGCAGTGTTTGTAAATGAGACCCCAGACCTTCCACATCCTGGGACCCATAGAGCAGGCGCAGCAGGCACAGCAGGCGCAGCAGTGGCTAAGTGGCAAACTTCCAGTGTAGCCTTCTATTATCTTGAATGGAGTTAGAAATTACTTAAATTGTGCAGCTCTTCTAGAATTTTGAAACATTATTTGGCCAAATGGATCAAATCTCAATAGTGAAAAGAGTCATTTTGTGAGGTTGTGACACTTGAAAAAAGTATCCACTGATTTACAGACATATCTTTCACAACGCAAGTCTATGGGAAAAAGTCCCCAGGGCATTACATGACGGACCTGGAAGTTGTACTTCCCTGTTTTGCCCAATTGGCCTCAAAGCTTCAAAGCGTATGAGTTGTCTGGATGCCGTTGTCAACATGGTTAGTGGCTGAGCTGGCAGCTAGCAGCTAACGGTGCTAACTCCAGGTGCCGCTACACAGTGGCAAAAGTGCTGGTATACGCATATATTGACATGGAAGCGCTGCCGAACCGTCTACCACAACAAACCACAGAGAAGCTCGGATCACAAGGTACACAAAAGTGGCGCGACTTTGTCCTCAGGGCAGGATGCAAGTACTCCACTATATCTTTACAGAGCAAATAGTGGGTTGCTGCTATATAAATGCTCTGAATGTCACGTACAGAAGGTTGGTTGAAAGCGTGTTTTTCAGATGTCTAGGTTACATGTAACTGATTTTCTTTAGTATCTTTAAAATAACTATATTTTAGTGTATTGTAAATCCTCACCATTCATTGAAATATGTCATTGAAATGTTACTGAACTTAAACCCTAGACTGTTTGATGTCTTTTGATCTGCAAATTTCCAAACCCATGCCTAGGTGGGAGGGGATCTTTGTGCTTAATATTGTTGCAACAGACTTAAACCTCAGACACTATTTCAATGTTTACCTTAGTGTACCTTTATTACAACATATTTATCCTTTTCATATTTGGTGGTTAACTTAAATGTGTCTTAATCCCTTACAGTGGGAGCTGGTGAAGCAGCCAACTTCGCAGCATACGCCTTTGCTCCTGCGACCCTGGTGACCCCACTGGGAGCCCTTAGTGTGCTTGTCAGGTACAGATGACTCACAGCATGACTTAGACACTTGAACCTCGTCTGCATTGACTTTTTCTTTCTGTTTATATATGTCTTTGTGGAGTGCAGTCACTGACTGCAAATCTGTCATTGCAGTGCGGTGCTGTCGTCGTACTTCCTGACGGAGCGGTTAAACCTGCATGGGAAGCTCGGCTGCCTGCTCAGCATCCTGGGCTCCACCACCATGGTAATTCACGCTCCGCAAGAGGAAGAGATCAGCAGCCTCGAGGACATGGCCCAGAAGCTGGTTGATCCAGGTACAGAAATTGTGTTCAGCGATATTTTTCTCAACAAAGTTTACCTCCTAGTCACGTTTCATAACAAGAATATTAAAAGACTGAAACAAATGCAGCTATTCCATTTCAGAATGGTGCCAATTTTTCACAAGTTAAAGGATAACTCCAACCTTGACCCTTTTTTCCCATGTTAACACTCGGAGAGATTATACACCATCAGTTTATGTCCACTATAAGTGCTTGTTTTTGCCACTGACAGGCTCAGATTGTTATGTTAAGTCTGACAACATCATGGAAAGGATCCCTACAGAAATAATCCTTTATATTCAAGAGTGAGATCTTTTTGGTTTAACCAGAAACAGCTCTGAATTTGATATCGCCAAACCCACCAGACTCCATTTAAAGAAAGGGTAATTTTATCATCATGAAACATGCTTCATTCAAAACTGACAGAAACAAAAAATAATATAAAACCCATCTTTGTCCGTCTTTCCACTGTTTCAACAATCACCAACTCTGGTTTGGCTGAAATAAACCCTTAATTCACCAGTTAGAGGTGAAAATATGCTGCCCGTGTACATGCTAAAATTACTGAATATATTAAAGGGAATCTGGTGGGTTTGGTGATGAAGATTTTGGAGCTGTTTATCACATCAATAGGATCTTACTCTTTAACAAAAAGTTCTACCTCTGTAGGGATCTTTCCCATAATGTTGTCAGAAAATTAAAACAATAAAATGAGCCTGTCAGTGGCAAAAACAAGCCTTATTAGTGGATGTAAATTAACGGTGAATCATTGTGGTTACATTGTAGCCTGTTTTGCTGCTGCAGGCTGCATCACTCACTTGAAATGGACCAATTTCAAAAACTGTGGTTCCCAATAGTCACTTAGACACAAAACAAATAGAAGTTATCCTTCAAGATCAAATACTACATCTCTATTGATATTTTAATTCTTCATATTTATGTTAAGTGCATTTAAACACCCTCTTTTTTCCTTTCTCCTAGGGTTTTTCGTCTTTGCCACTATCGTCATCATCGTGGCCCTCATCTTCATATTTGTTGTGGGTCCCCGTCACGGTCAGACCAACATCCTCGTCTACATCACCATCTGCTCAGTAATTGGGGCACTATCAGTGTCCTGTGTCAAAGGACTGGGTATCGCCATCAAGGAAGCAATCGCCGGGAAAAACGTGGTGAAAAACCCACTGGCGTGGATCTTGCTTCTGGGTCTGGTGGCCTGTGTGAGCACGCAGATCAACTATCTGAACAAGGCTCTGGACATATTCAACACCTCCCTGGTGACTCCCATCTACTACGTGTTCTTCACTACATCTGTGCTCACCTGCTCCGCAATCCTCTTCAAGGAGTGGGGGCACATGGGCACGGACGATGTGATCGGCACCCTCAGTGGCTTCCTCACGATCATCGTAGGTATTTTCCTGCTCCATGCCTTCAAAGACGTTAGCGTTAGCTTGGCCTCCCTCGCCGTGTCCATGAGGAAGGAGGAACGGGCCTTTCCCGCGGCCAACGGCATGGCGTCCCACAGCACCTACGAGCTGCTACATAATGAGTCCACTGAGGACATGGAGGACAGAGAAATGGGCTTGCCTTTTGATAGCGTCTCTAGAAGGAACGGAGCAATGACTTCCTCATTGGATCACTAAGAAACTCTTTTTTTCAGCTGCCTACATACTGACTCACCAACCATGGCATTGTTGGGGTATATGACAATAAGACAATCAACTGTTTGGGGGAAGTGACTTGGAGAGACCAGTGGATTGTATTTAACATTTTAATTTGCCTTACTTTTCTCAGAATATGACCTGGTCATATTCTGTTACAGTTAGAACTTAATTTCATTCCTCTGTAGCGCTGTAAATATGAGTTTTTTAAGAACTGTTTTGTTATATGTACATGCATATTCATGCACTGACTTACTTTCTATAAATCAAAACGATAAAAGTTTTAATATATATATATATTCTATATGATGTCCTGCTGACAATGGCTACGTTTAAAAGAAGGACAAACACTATGATTTGAGTTTTCGTGATACTTGAAAGTAACAACAATTTTTGTTGGAAGTCATTCTGAACTTTTTTTTGTAGCGTTTACATGAAAAGCTCTCGAGATGAACCAACAGATTTGTTACATATTTATTGAATTAAAATGATTAAAACATTTGAAGGCACAGTGAATAAATGCTTAACATGAGTATGCACTTTGTTACTTTTCCATTTCCTTTAAAATGTTTAGCATGCATGTTCAACAATATAGAAAATACAGATTTACCTTCACCCCCACTTAAAATAGGTAACTGAACACCCTTAATATTCCACCACTGCAAACCCTTAAATACTTATCTGATAAAACTAATTTCACCTCCCTGATCTATATCTTTCTGCAAATATAAAACAAAGAATAGTTCATCCAAAAAAAAAGGGAAATAGCTATTCATTTCTGATAAGGCACAAGTGAATACAAAAAAGTCATTCTGACGTGAAAACGTGGCCCAATTTCCCTACATGTACTGGTCCTTTGCTACTCAAGACTCAAAGTAAGTGAGGAGGAATATTTGTGGATAGTCTGGTAATGCTGACAGTGTTTGGAACTTTACGCTGGTCCACAGAATTGACGGCGGCAGCGGCGGTGGCGGCAGCAGCACCACCTCAGCTGCTGGCGAGTGACTGGTGAATTGGTGGTTGGAAGCATCGGACGTGTTCCACCGGCATGTTCTCTCCGTCTCCAGACTTCATGTACTTGTTTAGGATGGCGAAAATCTCGTTGTTGATGACTTGGAATTTGCGGATCCTGTCAACCATCTTCTTCAGTGGCTAAAGGGAAGCAGGAAATACGAACACAGTGAGGGGCGAATTCATGAAGATCAGACTGTGTCCCCTGAAAGCACCATAATTTGCGCATCACTTGAAACTGCTATCAGCCCTGTATTAAGTTCCGATTCACAAAATATATTCCGCTAATGATACAACAGCCCAAGCACGCCCACTAAGTTTTTTTGGGGGCATTTTTAATGCCTTATCTAGTGAGAGAAGGGAAGGACCTGCAGCAGAGGGCCCTGGTCAGACTCAAACCTGAGTGGCTGCGGTAAGAACTCGGCAAGAGATCAACGATATTGGATTTTTTTTTTTACCAATATCCAATATGTAGATATGTAACAACTTATTTTACCAATACCTGATACTGATACCAATATATGCACTTTTTTTCCTTACCTAACTCAAGTGACAATCAATATAATCAATGACCGATAAGGCCTTCCTCAAAACTTCAGGCAAGGCATTTAAACGTGACAGAGAGATACTGTATCTAGGATTTAATATCCCAGTCTGTCAGTGCTGTTGGTGTTCTCAAACGCACACCTTCAGGCTGTAAAAGAAGATGGCATGATTTTAAGCAGAGGACAAAAGATAAACTATTGTTTGATGCACTTAATTGACCACCAACTCTCAGAAGACAGCAATAATTTCATTATAACAGTGTGTGGATGTGAGTGCTGACCTTAGTGAACTGGACTGCTCATTTGCATAAAAAGGGGCTTATTTTGCACCAAATAACTACTTTAAATAGGTGCAAATGACACAGAAGCACAAAGACGCTACTTGCTTGGCACGACAGTTCACTCTTTGCGGGTGCCTGGAGAATTACAGTTTCTTTTCGTCTTATTTGTGCAGGTTTAACAAACACAATCCTTTTGTGAATTTGTCTCTAAGGGTGCTTTCACACCTGCCGTTTGGTTTAGTTCAATCAAACTCAAGTTCGTTTGCCCCTTAAATGCATTTTGTTTGGGCAGGTGTGAACACAGCAATCACACTCAGGTGCACACCAAAACAACTGGACCAAGTCCCTCTTGAAGAGGTGGTCTCAGTCTGGTTATAAAGGAACACTGTGAGAACACGAACCAACTCCAGGTAATCATTCAACTTTGTAACCAAATTAGTCAAAGTAAGACTCTAGGTCTGAGAGCACCCTTAGTGTCTTGTGCTTAGAGACAAAGTAGACTTAACAAAATTAGTCGTGTTTTGGTGAAACAACTGTAAATTTTGTGCAGTAAAAGTAAACTTGCCACCTTTTGCAAGCTGATAGGGTTAATGCCACATAAAGGATCAGGGTAAACTGAAGCACAGAGCCTCTTCACAGCCACATTGCAAAACACCTCTGCTGCTGCATCTTAAAAATATTCTTTCTACAGCTGAAGTACGGTAGTATGATACAATATCTGAATCTAAATGGAATGATTCACATCACTCGATACAGATGGTATGACAACATAAAGTGCTGCACTAATTGTTTTAATTTGCTGTCCTCAGTTTTATGATGCAATTTAAAAAATGCCTGAAAGTCATACAAAAATGACAATTATAAGACTGCAAATGTGATCTTCCATTATGACAATATTGCTAATCTTCCTCCAACTCACCACGCTCTTGATGACCTCGTCCTTGCCATCGTGCTTCTGCACCTTGAGAAGGTGGTAGCTGAAGTCGAGGATGTCAAAGCGCCTGTGCTGTCCTAGCAGGGCAATGATCATGCAGCCGGCCCAGTGAAGGCCGTCTCCGAAGCACTGCCTGTGAAGCAGAGATGGGGGTGTGTGAGTAAAACGTGGTGCTTTAAAATCATGTGGTGAGAGGATGTGGTGCAGATGTCGTGTGCTGCTGCACTCACTCCACTGTGAACTCGTGGGCTCCCACAGGGATGCAGTACACAAACTGCATGGCGCTCCACAGTCGGTGGAACTCCACACACTCATCCACGTGCATCACGCCGTTGCTGGGCAGTGGGCCGCGCCAGATGGGGTCGTCCAAGAAGCCTCGCACACGTGTGAGGATGACCTCGAACATGGACAAACCGCAGCACAGCCTCTCTTTGGTCAGAAGGTCGCCCTCGCGAGCAATGGCTATTTGCTAAAAAAAGAAGTGAGGCAGGAGATAGATAAAAAATAAACAAACTGAGGGCTGTGATATTAAACAGATCAAAATCTTTCACATGTGACATGATAACAAAGCTGACTCAACAGTGAACTCAGTAAAGACAGCTCCTGGTCATGGCTGTACCTGCGGGGTGCCGAGGCGCTCTATCAGTGGAACCAGATGCAACGCTGTGTATTTTGCCTCCAAGCGCTTCATCTTAGCATCCAGGCGTTCTCCCTCTGCACACAGCATGGAAAAGAAAAGTGTGGCAAGATGAGTCTGGTGATATTCTATATTTTTATTCTTGTCAACAAATCAGTGTGTATCCAAACCCTGATAAAGTTTATTCCTCTGTGCTTCAGAGCTCCACTGTTGTCTAAAAACACCCAATGAGCTGTTGTATTAGGTGACATGTTGCTCCATGAAGCATGAACCAAGCGGCAACCTCAGAAGCTAAAAACTGAAGCCAACAAAGAAGTGCAGTTCCTCTAATGGCCACTTGAGGCTGACTCTAAAAGTGAGTGAATCTCCATAGACTCCCATATTAAAATGTCCAACTTTACAGCAGAAAAAAACATGTTTACAACCTGGTACAAAAAACATTTTTGGTCTCTATAGCCAATTCAGCCTTGATGACAATTGTACAGGGGGTGAGCTTTTATATAACTCACCTTTTTAAATGTTATTAAGGCTTGAAGTATAACATAATTAAGGGCGTGGCTGATTTGAGTGACAGGTGGGTGCCATCTGTTGACAAGTAACTACCACAGCCAACAGCGCTGGATAGGTAATGTAACCAAGGTTTAAACCCAAATAATCATAGCTGTCGCTGTTTCAGTGTGTTGTTCAGTCCTTCTAAAGAGTCGGATATTCAGATTTTTTATTAAGCACATTTTGTTTTAATTTTTAGGCTGATTTTCGCTGGCAAAAATTAGCATTAGCATCACCACAATTAACTGTATACTGTGAATGCACCGTGCTTACCAAGCTAGCAGCTAGCATTACTGTTAGATCCAGCCTCTCATCCAAATATGGTCATTTCTTGCTCCAAAAATCCAAGACGGTGATGACCAAAATGCCAAACTGAAGGCCTCAACCCAAAAGTTGACATCACTTTGGCTACGTCCATTAAATTATAAAATCTATGGCACTAATGAGTGTATTATATTTGTATTACTTGTGGCTGGAAACGGTCCCTACCAAATGCATTATTCCTTTATTAGTCATTATTATTCATTCATTAATTTTCCATAAACGCTTATCCTGTTGGGGGTCATCGGGGGGCTGGAGCCTATCCCAGCTGACATTAGGGAAGAGGCAGGTACATTTAATGGGAGGCTGGTGGAGAGGTGAGAAAGTTGCTAGGGTTTGCACTTCCTTCTCTTGTTCTCTGATCATTCGTCACGCCATTTCTGCCACTATGTGTATGAACGAGTGAAACACCATGGGTGCTCGGCAGGAAAGACCGTCTGAAAATGTGTTCCATTATCCCCACATTTCAATGATTACTGCTGACTTTCATTTCTCGCAGTGAATGCCGGCCTTCCTTGTGTGTAAGCATTTGACACAGCTACTGTACAAACACTTCAGAAAGACCTCTGCACTTGAAAATAAACTGTGCTCTCTCTTGGATTTACCTTTGACATGAACTCTTGGCAGAATGTTCTGGAAAGGTGCAGCGTGCAGCAAATCACAAACTTCTTCCTGTGACTGTGAGAAAGACGCAATCAAAGTCAAAACACAGACATAAAAAAGGTATGAAAGACATCTGAACTGCATTCAGAGGAGGTGATATTCTCCAGATAAATGCAATCCTGTAAATAAATCTATCCAAGGTTATATGAGAAGACTGACGCACAACTTGCTCAGTGATTGGAACACTGATGTGATGTCAGTGCAGTGACACACCACAAGACTATCAGTGAGAAATGAACAAGAAATCAACTCCACGCATCACATTTGCATCAAAAATGGAGATCTAGTTATAACTTGAGATCTGTACCAGACTCTGCTCGCTCAGCAGACAGAACAGGATGGCGTTGCCCACTTCCCTCAGGTTCTGGAAACACACGGTCTTGAGCTCGGCGTACTCAACAATGTCCTTTAGCTGATGGTGAAAGAACTCCAGGATACCTGAAACAAAACAACACAGACTAAATATCTCATCTCCCACCTTATTTCATATCTGTCACACAGTTTACCAGCCCTCCATGTTCTATCACTTCATAGAGGTTTGATGCTATGTTATTGGCTGAAGGTGTTTTCACAAAAGTTTGTTTCAATAACAGTGTGACTGGTCTCTCGCATTTGAAAGCTTCAGTTACTTTAAATTAGCTTATTGTTGGCACAGCCTGGTTCTTTTATGAGGAGTGCGACCTCCAGACTGACCCGCAGGGACATTTTGGTGACCAGTTCCTTTCAGTTTCAGACTGTGTGGTTTGAAATAAAAGATGTCTGTGGGATTTGAAAAATGAAGTGAAGTAAGAATGTCCAAATCAAAGACATGCCTACGCAAGGTTTTTCATGTTTGTCATTTAAGTGCATTTAACAGACGTAGAAACGAAATTAGATAAAATTATGATCATAGCAATGAACCTAGAGTCTTTTTTATGCACGCTTTCATGACTTTAACTGATTGTTGGTGCATTGATCAATCTTCCAGTTAGCAGACTACATGGCCTCTTACCTGGGGAACCGTACTCGTGGCGGGGAAGTCGGCAGATCTTGGGCATCACCTCCATCAGGGTCTTCACATACTGCATTATGGTGCCCTGAAGCTATAAAACAAAAGGAGAGCATTAAACGGCAGCATATACAGTTCAAATACTCAGTTAAAGGAATACTTCACCCCTGAGTGATTAGTTGTGTATCAATTACTCATCCTGTTTAACAGTGAATTCTTGAAGAAAACTTTGGTTTTCTCACCAGCCTCTGGCGAACGAAGAATCCAGAAACAAAGAAAATTCTTGATGAATGGAAGTCATCAGGGTCCGTGTTTAATAACAGCTGATAAAAACATTCGTTGACAAACTCCCACACAACTCTTGCAGTATAATGCAAGTCTCATTTATCCTTTCCAACCTGGAACTAAACAGAAAGCGAAACCTTCCCACGCTCTCTTCAAAACCAGACTCCATTGACAAAAACAGTAATTTTACCTCGCTCAACACAGGAGCTGCTGGTCTACCACTGCCTCGATCAGTTTGTTTGTTTGTTCGTGTTCTTGTGTGATTTTGGTGTTTTAAACCATTAATTTAGGTAAACTTAAGTCACACAATAACACAAACAAACCACTAATTAAAGCAGTGGTGGACCAGCAGCTTCTGTGTTTAGTGAGGTAACATTACTGATTTTGTTAATGGAGTCTGGCTTTGAAGCCAGGTCCCCATCACAAAGGGCTGTCTGTTTGGGAAGCACTGAGCAAATGGCTGGATAAATGGTACTTGAACAATACTGCATGAGTTGTGTAAGAATTTGTAAACTGATTGTTAAACAGACCCCTACGTCTTCAGTTCATAGAGAATTTTCTCAGTTCTTGGATTCTTCGTTCACCGTGGAGGCAAGTGAGAAAAACCAAGTTGTTCAGCGTAACATGGGGTGATTAACTGATACATTTGGAGGATGAAGTATTCCTTAAAGAGGAAACCATGAAGAACAGATACACACACAAACAAACAGATCCATTGTTTATTTAGTATATGACGATGATGACATCAGTCTCATTCATAACTAACAAGGAAAGCAACCTTTTTAAACCTGCCTTACAATCAACCTCTCTTCTGGAAGCAGGAAGTTCCAGTAATGAAACTACACCCCCCCGACACACACCTTCACTGCTCACTGTCCTACTCACCAGGCTTTTGACCACCTTCAGCAGTTCCTCCATCACCACAGCGATGCCCTGGTAGCCCAGCAGTCTGCACATGACCTTGATGTGCGGGGGACCCAAAAAGTTCCTGTAGCTGCCAAATATGCTGCTGTACGCCAGATTCAAGGTCTGCAATCAGAGGACAGACAGGTGGTGATGAGAAGTCAAACACTTATTCTATCACTAGGATAAACATTGTATGCTTTCGTCACCCATAATGCAGGAATGTACAAAATTTCATGGCAACCCATCCTATACTTTCTGAGATATTTCCATCTGGAAATGGTGACCCAACCAACCCACATGACCATCCATGGAGTCACAACAGTAGTATGGCTAAATACAGTATTCGACATGAGATCATCAATAAAAATAGGCGCATCATCCCAAATTACAAATACACTTCTCAGTGCGATCCTGTACTGTGTTGTCACAACAATAAATCTTTGAATTTCCTGGCACCCTGCCTGGTAGATGATGAGACATCTTGTGTGCAAAGTTATGATTTCAGCCTGAGGGCAGCAGCAGGAAGCTCATGGAGCATTCCAGATTCAAAAGATAAACTTCACATCAATCTGCCTCTTAAATTTTGGTATTTTATTGTGCACAAGTGACAGTATTTGCTCAATGGGAACACCAGTGTCAGGGGATCACTCGCAATATTAGGAATTATCCTCTGGGGACCATGAATATCCAGTAAATTCAACGACAATCTGGACAGCAGCTGTTGAGAGACTTTGCTGCAGAACAAATGGTTCCACAGATGGATCGACCAACTGAACATTTCAGATCCTCTCCACACCCTGTCGCTAGATTTTCAAAATACCAGAAAAATGACCAAAGCGGAGTCCTGAACAAGTCTGATTTTCAAAACTCAGTCCCAAACCAGATCCGTAACGTGCAATACCGCACCCGTTCTGCCACGTTCAATCCTTGCCTTGACCCGAAATAGCAAGTCCTATAATAACTATGGGCTGGTAAATACATTCCATACATTTGAAACTAGTTTATTTTAAAACAAAGTTAATTTTGGAAATAAAATTTAAACAAATTTTTTTTTTACTTATTCATGATACTGACCAGCACATAGTCAACTTGCCCTTAAGTAAAACACCTGATTAAAGCAGCTCCCATATTCGAAATGGTGCAGAAGGCAGAGTTGACACACAAAGTCAGCAGTCACAGGATTAAAACGTGAAAACACTTAATTAAATTCATGATAATTGTAACTTAATTTTAATAAATTTTTCATCCAACGTCTGTGATTCGACCTGTATGTTCCTTTTTTCGCCCAGAACCGAACCTGGACATAAAATTAAGACAAAACACTGCCTGGGAATCACCCAAGGGGTACCTGACCAGATACTGGAATATGGACCAAAGTGCTAGTCAATCTACCACAGTTTCCACAGGTCTTTTGTTGTTCCAGTGTCCGCCATTTCCACTACAAGGGATAAAGACTGCAAAGAATTTACACTGATACTCTCTGACAACTGGGGATAGCTATAGAGGAAAACAAAACAGCTCTCCTCTCCCTATTTTGGGTGTGCAACGTTCGATGCACGTCTTTGTGTCTTAAATCGAGCCTTCACTTTCCTGGGAGATCGTACTCTGTGGCAGACAGAACTGCACGGTGAAAGAGAGGCTTATAGCAAACCAATCTAAATACAGATGGTGTCATAACTCTACAGCTATTACATAGTGCTATCAACATTTGCTTCATAATGTTAAAGCAAAAAACAATGATATCTGTAGGTGAACTAGCAGGATAAAAAAGTAGGGACAAAAAAAATCAGAGAGGCTAAATTAACTACCATTTAAAAAGATTTTTATTACATATAATGACCCATTTGGATCTACACACTCTTCTCTAAAATCCACTGCATGAGACTCGCTCTCTCCCCCGTCTGTCGGCAGAGAGTTGAAGCTGCTGCTGCTCTAATCCAGCAGCACTCCCACTTAATGTGGCAGCAGCGGAGACAAGGACACACCGATCTCTGGTCCACTCCTGAGAATGAAAAGCGACACGGCAGCACCCAGCGTCAGAGCTCTTGATATAGTGACAGTGGAATAGATCTAAGATGACTGAATAGCAGGACCACAGGACGGTCTACCCGAACCAACACCTGAGGCACCACAGATTGGTATGGTCAACACGTGCTCGCTGTGTTTTTCTGGTAAGTCGAGCTTTAAATAGATGACCACTAATTATTCTCCTAACACGGCTTATTACCATAAAGATAATCATGTTTTATTGCAGCTGATGCAGCAGGAAAATATGTGAAAGGTGCATTTCCTAAATCTTATTAGTGGATAAATAAAAGTATCTCAGCAGTGACTGGTGATAAAAAAGCCAGATGTAAGCTTGCTGGCTTGACTTGAATTATATGACATAAAAATATTCTAACACTGATTTAAAACCAACTATTCTTGTGAGATTATCTGTGTCTGAAATATTACTGCTTTAAGATTTAATATGATGGCTTATTTAGAAATGTAAAAATACAGAATATTGAGCAGAAACAACACAACTGTGCCTTGTTCCTAAAAAAATATTGATTTACTGATACACAATGATTCTGTTTTTTTTTAAATGGTGTCAATATTAACTTTCCACAGGATCGATACACTGATACCAGCCGCACCTCCTCGCTTTAATTATTAATTTTGACAACAGTCATTCTGTTGTTTTCTGCCACTAACCACAAAGAGGACATTTATAGCCTTGTTGTATTAATCTTTTGATAAAAAATCTCAATTTCATGCCACCAATGTCAATTTTCCCCGTGGTGCTGAAAATGGTGTCGATAATTAGTTATAAAATGTTGGATCGCAATTAGAAATTCTGTTTAAACACAAAGAGAGCATCAAAACCTCTCAGCGTCAGTTCATTTGGAAAGATGCAAAGTGAACACTTTAATTAGTTATTAACTATTTCAAATAAAAAAATAAGTTGAGAAAATAACATTTTAACACTTGAAAGTCTTCTCTTACCACCTGACGTCTGTTTTAAGTCCAGAACAAGCTTTTATTTTTAATTTTACACATTTTTTTTTAACTAATTGTTCATTGGTTTTAAGACAGTTAGCGCAGCAAATTCAAGAACAACATACAAATTGTTTAACAACTTCAATTGTCATTGTCCACAAATGACAAAGGAAGGGTAAAAAAAACAAACTTTAGAAAAGTATTCTATGAGTTTCAATAAATATGACAGTTAACACAGAGCTAAAGCCACTGGTCGTCCTGTTCAGACCTGACCAGCTGGTTTTTAACTGCTCAAGGTTGTCAGATTATCACCTGTTCCGTTGCAGGTGACTCAACAGCACAGATGAGCCGCTCCACAAATCATTCTGCATTATGTCATTTGCTCAACATCTGTGCTCACCCCCCCACCCCCACCACCCCACCCCCACCACCTGCACTTTGTTCCAGATAATCCTTCATACAATGCTTATTGTCCTCTGATATTATTCTCTCGCTTTATTATGCTTTTTACAATGAGTAGGTGGCCATTAAACAATTTTATGCTTTTCTTTTTTAAACTTGAAACGCCTCATTAAGCTTGAAAAGACAGGCAGCAGCACATTAAACACAGTTTCAGATCACAGTATGAGCACACCAAAAATAAAACTGAGGTCATCATATCTTGGATCACACAGGGGCACAAGCTCCGTCAGAACATCTACCACCTGATGCACCTTCCTCCAACTCCTTCAAATCTATTTTTAAAAACACTTCAAGAGACCAGCTCTCTGAGACAACTTCCAAACCACAGGAGCAGTGAACTCAGAGGCCCTTTCCCCGTTTCAAGACTAAAGCTGGGGACAGATAGCAAGAGTAGATCTAGCAAAGACCTACTAGCAAAGCATGTCAGAGTGAAGACAATAGCTTCCGTTATTGTTCACGATATCATGACATCAATATGATATGATATATTGCTCAGCCATAGCCTCAAGATTTGTTATTGACTGTAATGGTCTGTGGTAAACTGTATCTAAGGAGAGCAGGCACTGAGAAAATGCGAGCATAATGCACTTATATCTTTTATCACCTTTGTGTTTCTATTATAGACACAGGTGAGTCAGGATTCGGCTCAACTGTCATCAAAACAATCTGCAATCACACCAAACAATCAACACAACACCTGCTGTTTACATGCTGATGTAATGACTACTTGTTCAGTGAGGGAGGTTCCGTAAATAAGCTCTGAGCTGCGAGGCACAAAAATGAGACACTGCTGGGAAAAAATGAGTCTGAAATTCTCCTGTCAGTATCTTACTCTGTGTTATTGTTATCTGTCTTTTCCAGACTTTGATATCTGAGGAAATACTTCACTCATATCAACTTGGCTCTTCAAGCAGACCGACAGCCTTGCATCATGGGGGTTGCGGTCTATAATATCTCTGCCACCTCAGCCAGAGTGAGCTGGCCGTCGTCCCCCAGCTGCCTGGACACCTTCTACAGCGTCATGTACGACCCAAACTGGAACAGCCTGCTCATGGGCTACAAGCGCAAGAGCTTCATGCACGAGGAACGCATCCCTGTCAGTCAGACCAGCACGCACCTGGCAAACCTCCTCCCCCAGACCGCCTACTTCCTGTGTGTGACGTGTCAGGCGGCCAATCCAGTGCGGGACCAGTGCCAGGTGTTCAGCACTCCGAGTGACAGCAGCGAAGGTCACGACAGGGCCGGTTGGGAGCTCGCCATGGGCGTCTGGCTGACCTGCTGCATCTTGCTCCTGGTCATCGCTGGCGTCCTGTTATGGGGATGTCTCCACACCATCTGCTCCCTCCCCAGTCAGGCCGCAGACAGCTGCCATGTCATGACCAACTCATCCCGTCAAGATATGTCCGGATCCGGACGCCTCTACGCTCCCAGACGCACCAGCGAGGACAGCGGCAAACGCGGCAGCATCATGCAACCCTCCCTTCTCTCGACGCAGAGTGCTGGCCACATAATTACCCAGGACCACGAGCTGAGGACATTCGCTAAGCTGTCTGGCACCGAGCCAGCATGAATCAACTGGATTGAGGTCATCATAGCATTGTTTTGCTTGGCCTGAACTGCCCCTGAGGGGGTTTTTATCCACAGATAAAAATCTACAGAGCCGGGGGGAGTGTCATGGAGAAAAATAAACTAATCTGTGCTCTCGAATTACTAATTCGCGTGCACGGATTACTGAATTCCTGCTCTTGAAACATTTTTATTACGCTCATCATCCGTTCCTCCACAGCCGGCCAAACTGCAACCAAAACACTGAGAGCTCCATTTACATGTATTAATTTCATTGTGCATAAAACCAGTTTGAGTCTGACAACTAACAAGGCAACATCATCATCATCAGTTCTAAATCATAATAAGTTTTACTATTTGGAATCAGGGAGTGGGGCAAAATATTTTAGCCCCTCAGAAGCCTCAGCTGTTGGCTGCACCCTGGTGTTAATTAATGCACGGGAGAGCCTCATGTGCAGGAGGCAGGGTTGGGCATATTTACCAAAAAAATATACGATGGAATTGTGCCTGACCGTCAGCAACAGACACTGATGCGTCACTGTGCTTAAAATAGCTTATAGGTCAATAGAGTAAGAGCGCAGGCTGTACACAGCTTTCTGTCTCCGTCTCTTCTGCGCGTCAACGAGCACTGAACTCCGATTCTGTGACAGTTTTAATGTGTTTTGATATTTAACTGTAAGCTCTGATAAAAACATCTCCAACAGGACTGAACGTCTGACTCGGCATCATGTTTTACTCAGTCTCACATTGCCAGACTTACAGTATCGCCACACTTTATCCTTAAAATGCCAGGCTGAACCCATCAAAATTCTGCGATAAGGGAGAAAAATGGGTTGTTTGTATGTTCTTTAAACCAGCAGTTCCCAACTGGTCCAGCCACAGGGTCCAGGTTTCTTCTTAGTCATTATTTCAAAGTCCACACAGTTTAATACACTCAACGTCACACTTGCATTTGGCCATGTCATAGAGCTCGTTTGCTCAACTCAACTCAACTCAACTTTATTTATAAAGCGCTTTAAAACAACCACAACTGAAACAAAGTGCTGTACATAGGAGGTCATAAAACAACAAAACAGTGAGATAATAAAAAGCAGTTAAAACAAAAAAAACAAAAAAACAATAAAAACAACAACAAACAAATAAAAACAGAGCGAGGTCTCATGCTGGGTTAAAAGCTAGTGAGTAAAAGTGGGTTTTAAGGTGGGTTTTAAAAACAGACAGTGAGGAGGCCTGTCTGATGTGCAGAGGTAGATTATTCCACATTTTTGGAGCAGCAACGGAGAATGCACGGTCTCCTCTAAGCGTTCACTTGGACCTTGGTACCTCAAGGAGCAGCTGATCAGCTGACCTGAGGCACCGGGCAGGGGCGTAGGGGTGAAGAAGCTCAGAGAGGTAGGGCAGGGCGAGGCCATTTAAAGATTTAAAAACAAATAAAAGGATCTTAAAACGAACTCTAAAGTGCACAGGCAGCCAGTGGAGGGAGGCCAGGATGGGTGTAATGTGCTCTCTCATTCGTACTCCAGTTAGTAGACGAGCGGCAGCATTCTGGACTAACTGGAGACGTGCAAGGGAGGACTGGCTAACTCCAAAATAAAGTGCATTGCAGTGATCCAGCCGAGATGTAATGAAGGCATGGATTACTGCTTCAAAGTGCTGATGTGCAAGAAAAGGCTTCACCTTCGCAAGCTGCCTGAGGTGAAAGAAACTCGACTTTACAACTGCACTAATTTGGCGGTCCAATTTAAAATCACTGTCCATCTTAAAACCCAAGTTAGTAACAGTAGACTTTGCATAAACTGCCAAAGGACCCAGATCAACAGGGGAGGAAACACAGGAGCCGCTGGGGCCAAACACCATGACCTCTGTTTTTTTCTCATTAAAATTTAAAAAGTTTAGGGCCATCCAGGCTTTGATATCTTCAAGACATGACAGCAGGTGTTTGAGGGAAAAGGCATTGCTTTTACTCAGTGGTACATATATCTTGCTGTCATCAGCATAGCAATGAAAAGCGACACCATGCTTTCTGAGGATAGACCCTAGGGGAAGCATATACAGGGAGAAAAGCAGGGGTCCTAAAATTGAACCCTGTGGGACCCCATATAAAAGCGGAGCGGAGGAGGATTCACACGCACCAAGACCAACACACATAGTCCTGTCGGCTAAGTAGGACCTGAACCAGTCCAGGGCGCTACCACCAATGCCCACTAGCTGCTGCAGACGTTTTAACAAAATGTTGTGGTCTACAGTGTCAAAGGCAGCAGTCAAGTCGAGCAGGACAAGAACAACATAGTTGCCACTATCATTTGCCATTAAAATGTCATTAAAAACTTTTAAAAGGGCAGTTTCTGTGCCATGCAAAGTTTTAAAACCAGACTGAAAAACCTCCATAATATTGCAATCATCAAGGAAAGTTTTTAGTTGTGCAAAGACAATTTTCTCCAGGATTTTAGAAATAAAAGGCAACTTGGAGATGGGCCTGAAATTTGCTAAAGCAGTGCTATCTAAGCCAGGCTTCTTCAGCAAAGGTTGTACTACAGCATGTTTGAAGCTTACTGGGACAACACCAGAGGACAGGCTGCTATTTAAGATGGTCAGAACCGACTGCCCAATAGTAGAGAAAACTTCTTTAAAGAAGTGGGGAGGGACCACATCACGAGGGGAACCTGATGGTTTAATATAGGCCACCACATCCTCTAACAGTGACAGAGTTTGCTGTTTCTGTCAAGTAGCCACCTACTAGCCTCTCACTCTAAAGCAAGAAACAGTGCTTCAAAATAAAAGCTCTGTGCTGGAAATTCAACCGCACTTAAAAATAAAGTGTGTTTTTACAAACTTGACATGTTCATGAGTCACTTGTGGTCCGTTAAGAAAGGACCTGTGACCCACCAGCTGGGAACTACTGCTTCAAACCAATCATAATCATTGAAAGAGAGGGAGAATTTGGTGTGAAATAGGCAGCCAATAGCAGGCCTATACGCACAGTCTACATCCTGTGAGTCAGACTGTGTCTTGCTTTATGACATCTGATTTATGCACATAAGGTTTCTCATCTTAACTTAAATTGAAAGCACAATATTTTTCTCCATGACGTCTCCTGGGCTCTGTGAATTCCTATATGTGTTTGGGAGATATAAAATGTTTTCACAGAGACAGTTTAAACTGAAATCTTGATGCGCCACTTCAGTTTTTAGTGATACATGTTTTACATTTTATCCTGTCTACACTGAATGTTTCTCTTGTAAATAAGAAGCTCATGAAAGACATTTTGATCAGTGTTCACTTTTACATTTTGTCCCCATTTACCCTGCACATGTTTAAATACTTGTCACACATCTTCTACAGTAATGATGCTTTCCTACTTGTACTCTACAGATATATTTACTGATGAATGTTTGGCTTCAACATGTGGACTCAAGAGAAGTCAGCCAGAAATCAATAAAAATATCTTCCACTCATGGACTCCAATAAAATAAAGTGATGATAATAAAAAAGTGCACTGACCTTTGACCCGTACAGGTACTGGGGCTGAGCGTTGGGTGGCTTGTCCCTCTGGAACTCCTGAGAGAAGGGCAGGACGGTGCGCACAAACCTGAACACACACACATAGATTAATCAGACATGTGTCGCTACCATCAAAAACATCAGGCTGCACACAGCAGTAATATCATTGCCACTCCCTGCAGTACGCAATGACAGGAGGTTTACACACACACTTGTATGGGTTGCCTCCCTCAGTGCTGCTGTAGATGATTTCGCAGCAGTGCTGTGTGCACTGTCATCAAAGACACAAGTAAGCAAACAGCAGAAGTAAAAGACGTACAAACCAAACACTGAACATTAAACATTTGTGGCTTATATAGCGGCCAAGCAAGTTCGCAGACTACATGGCTGCTACGGATTATCTTAACCCCACTGAGAATGCCTCCTCTTCATCCACAGATTGGAAAGTTTCCCCTCTGGCTGGGATCCTCTATAGTACAAACATCAGGGATTTGGTTCCATATGAAGAGCATTTCTTTTTGAAATGTTTGTCTGAGGCTGAGCAGCTGATTTACAAGTTGATGCTGGCACTGAATGCTTGTATTAAGTAGGTAAAGGGTCACAGTACCTGTGCGGGCCAGAGTTACCCTTAATTGATTGGTTAATGTAACTAACAAATGGCCATTAATCATGCTGGCAGGAATTCAAGTTTTGTATTATATCTCTTTAAAAATGTCAGAGTTAATTAGCTAAGTATCAAACCACCAGTGTGCTCTAACTCCAGGAAGGACAAGCGAAGTATTGGCAGCAACCACAAACTAACGTACCTGTTGGTGGAGCCGTTGTAGCAGTAGTTGGGCAAGAAGTCGTAATTGAGCTCCCAGAAGACGTGCAGTGTTATCCGGCCGTAGGGAGCTGACACGTTGTGGTTGGCCTCGCGGAACATGGCGTCAAAGCTGTCCAGAGTCAAGTACTTACTGAGGAGCTTGTGTGTCATGCGGTTGATCTCCAGAAGACCTTCCAGTTCCTTTAAGCAGACAGAAAAATAGTCCACAACTGTACACAGATGCACATGGTAGACACTGATAGCAAGGGTGTTATTTATCCAAAAAAGATTAACATGAACAAACCATGATGGAGGTGAGGTCCTCACTCTCAAAGCGATTGATGGCCAGCTCTAGAGACTTGTGAAGGGCAGCGGAAACCCTCTGAGTGATGAGCCTGTTCAGATCAATGGAGCGGCCTAGAAGCTGAGATTATCGAACAGTTAGTCAGACACAACATGGCGTCAAAACATCAAAGGCGGCAGCACAGAGAGAACAAAATGCACCATTGGCACAGCACATACCTGGACGTGGCGTTGCTTCAGCAGTGTCTCGTAGCGGTTGGAGGCCGGCCAGGGAATGTTGGCCCCTTGGTTCTTGCAGTCGGTTCTCAAACGTTTGTCAAGCAGAAGACTGAAGGATTCAAAAACAGAGGAAGCATTAAAGAGTTTCCATATAAGTGTGATTCCATGTTTTAAAACAATATCTTGTGAAATGAAGCGCATCACAACCATGGTTCGCAACCTCGACCCACATCCCCATCAGATTAACTCGAGAACTGACACGTTGTTAATTT